GTGTGTGTGCACTAAGCTAAATATTACTCTGTAGTGTAGCTTGTTTTCGGTGGAGCACGTGGAGGAGGAGTCCCTTGTCCCCTTTTCATCTATCTTAGGATTCTAAAATGCTTCAAGGTGGTTTATATTAATGAAGGATTGAATACACTTGAATTTTAATCCTGGCCTCGTCGTTTGTTTGCTTGTTTGTTTTGGGGCCTTGGGAGATGTCTTTGATTCCTTAGGTTAGCAGTGCAGAACTTGAATGTTCCCAGAATGTTCCTAATCCCAGTTTGGAGCAAGTGTGATGTGAAACTGTCTGATTTGCCAAGAAATGACACTCAAAAGCAGCTATTGGAGCTTCTGTACTGGTAAAATTTGAGCTAATTAAGCAGTAGGGATGCAAAAATTGATTTACAATTCTGTTTCAAAGAAGTGTTATATGTTGATCAAGGTACTAATTTTTGTTTGTTGCTCTAATTGATTCAATAGGTCAGCCTCTCCTTATCATGGTTTCACAATAGTGAATCGACTTAACATGCACAACCTGGTTGAACCGGTAAATAAAGACTTGGAGTTCCAGCTGCATGAACCTTTTCTTCTCTACAGAAATGCTAGCTGTGAGTATAACCTTTTAAAATCTATATAAATTTAATACATTGCTTTGTAATCCAGCCCACCATTTTGGTGAAAGAAAACAGCTTAAGGTAGGAACGTTAACTTTTCATACATCTTTAGCAGTCCTCTATCTGCAGGTATAAGAGAGGAAAAAGGCAAAACTAGTCAGTAAGCTGAGCATTTCAGGAGACACAGAAAAGTTAATAATTAGTAAGGAAGAAATGGCAGGAGGGATTAATAGGGGGGAGGGATATTTAAGCAGGTTGCTAGGTCTGAGAGAAGAGGGCCCGTGGAGGGTGGTAGCAGGTCAGGGGACATAGCCAATCGAGTGACAGGAGATGAGAGCACTGCAAGTGTGAGATCGGGGAGGTAAGAAAAATGGGAAGGTGGTGGTGGTTGCTGGAACTGCTCATGGAATTAGGAAGCAGCAACTGATGTGGAGTGGTGGTGGTGTGGGATAATGGGAGTGGTAGAGGATTGCTTAATAGAGGAATTTGGAAAAGGTGGGCTGTGTGAGGAGAGTTCATTGGAAACTCCTGGAGCTACTAATATGCTCCTCTGTCATTGATTAAAAGCTCCCGTTTTCCCATGGGGCACTCCTGTGTAAAGTCTATGAGAAGGCTAATGGGAGTTGGGCTACAGATGAAATAAAGTAGTGGAAGAAATTCAAAGATGTGCAAGGAGAACAAAGCAAGGCTTGAGAGAAACTTGAAATAAGTTATTCCATTTTGAGGTAATCAAAAATTACCTTTCACAAGGTATTCAAAACCTTTTCCTCAGCAAGTCCTTACCACTGTAATTAAAAAAAAAAAAAGTTTCTTTTCTCTTCTTATTTTGTTACTCTGCTGCCTCCTAGAAGGAGGCAGCATATTCAGAAACAGTCTGCCCTTTCACTGGTAAATATTAACATCAGATGTAGTTAACTTAGTGTCCTGTGGGCCACAAATAAAGAGCTGACCACTTTATATTGTGTGCTCTGCTAGCTTCTTTTGAATACAAGCATGAATGTAAAAAGAGCAATATTAACATTAACAAAGAATATTCATTCTGCTCTCTGCCTCTGATACAATAGTGTCCTTAAATGATAAGATCATAACAGGGTCAATGGCAAGTTGCATTTCATGCTTCTCCAGGATGTGGCAGTGATAGTGAAGATGATGGATTAAAACAAAACTGTTCCAGCACATACTCAGGAAATGGACTGTGACAGTAATTGTCAATGAATGTGATGCTACTGTTTTATCAACTTCGTATTTCCACTTTGCTCATGGATGGTATTGACTTAAGAAGATAAGGGCACAGTCCGTTATGTATACGAGCTCAGGCCTCTGGCATTTCTCTCCCACAGTTACTGGCATGAGAACTGCTCGGAGTACATGAAGAATGGAGTACTCCAATCTGTGCAGAGCTAGTAGCAAATTCTATGAGAAACTTTGTAAGCAGCATGTAAACATTATTTTTACTTGGCTGGAGGCTCTAAGAGGGATTTGCCTGTCATGCTAAATCATAATATTTTTAGTGTTTTTAGTTTGTGGGTTTTTTTATTTTTCTCTTTTAGTTTCATCTTTACAAATAAATATATACCTATATTTAATACAGCATAATTCTTAGCTTGTACATCAGAACTGATTTTGTTAAGCTGTAAGCGTGAGGTCCTTATCACTGTGCAATTGCACAAAAGATTTTTCATGCTTTTGGAGCAAGACTAATTGAGGAGATTGCCCTTTTATCCTGTTGCTGGAAAGGAGGCCATGCTGTCCTTTGATCATTGTCTTTTGTTTTCTTTCTTGTTTGCTTTTGCAGAGTAGGATAATAAGGAGTCTTTTCTGATTGAGCAGTGATGAGGAAGGACTAAATGATGGTTTTCTTATATGTTCATTGAGTGAACTAATTAATTGGGTCAATGTGTTATTTGTTACATTGACTAGAGGTAGAGCATACAGGTGATGTTTGCTTTTTGGTTTTATCTATCTTAGAATTTTTTTTATATATATTTTTTACATTGTAATAAGGAGGTCTTTTACAACTCACTTTTTTTTTTCCTCCCTGTCTTTCATATTTATTCTAATAGTATCACAGGATGTAACCTTCAAAACAATACTTAAACCTCCAATCCTGAGCAAGCTTATGTCTGTGTCTTTTATATAATGCTGCTCTAAAACTTCACCACTTATTCATCAAGTGTCAGATCTTCTTAAAGCAAAAATAACAAAGACTGGTTAAGAAACATGATACCAATAAAAGTAGCAAAAGAAAATCTTCCTTTTTTGTTATTATTGTTTGGGACAATTTAAAGAAGACAAGTATGACAAGTAGAATTAATAAAGAAGTGAAGTTTGTCTCTGGTTTCTGTAGTGTAGTTTATTTTGGACTTAGAATTCTTACAGGGTGAAACTCATAATTCATATTTCTGTACTAATGCTGTTTAATCTAGAATATATCTTGGTGTATACGTTAACTTCCAATTTTTTCTCTGGATGCATTTGTGTTTTTATGAATAATTGTTCATGATCTAATGCATCCCCTTGGGGAGTGTTTTTTGTTTGTTTTTCTCTTTGAATCAACTTAAACTTGTTTTTTGTTCATCTTTTTGTAAAAAGTAGGCTAAATTCTGTACCTTAAACATGATTCTATCAGTAAGAATAATAGGAGCCCCATATGAATGTTTTCTCTGGAAGTTTTTCTTCAGTTTCCTTAAACTTCTGCTGTTTGGCTAGGGAAACTATTCTGCAGCAGTATTTTGACAAGCTGATAGTTTGCTTAATAATAAATGAAAACTAGTCAAAACTGTAAACAAGGCCAACTTACCTCTTGAAGTCTGCAGGAAGTCTTCTGCATCTTTCTCATTTATAACTTTTCCTCTGTATTCGTGGTGTTGATCTTGATTAAAAGGCTTTTTAATCCAAGCTAGCTCTCTTGAGAGGTCAGGCAGATTGATTTCCATGGTACTGAAGAGACAGATGCTAAGCACAAAAGTCTGGTATTACAAGAAAGGTCCTTGCTTGTGTTTTTAATGCTTCTTAGGCCAAGGACTAAGATATGAGCTAGTAAAACAAAAAAAAAAAAAGGATTTTGGAGATTTCTGTGCTTTTAAAAACAAGATGCTGTCTTCTGGCTTGTTGTTTTATTATTAAATAGACTTGTATTCAGAGCAGGGGGGAAGTTAAAGCATTACTGCAAATGGCACTTTTCCTTTTTTTCCCCCTCCAAAAGTGCTTGCAATGGGTTTCAAAAGAGGATATCCTTATCCTCAAGGAGAAAGTCTCTGGTTATCCCCTGCAGCCACCAGACTGGCAGCACTATGAGTTTATAACATATCTCTGAGTGCTGGAGCTGAATGGCTGTCCAGCAAGCACATTAGCCCTCTCTTTCAGAGTGAGATAAGGAAGGAGCCTGTCCCCGATACCTTTATAGCACAAGAAGCTGTACGTGCTGGGGGAGGGGGAACCACCGAAGGCTGCTAAGTAGCGCTAAAAATATTTTGTCTGACCTGAAAGATGACACTCTGACTGGAAGGAGTTTTCTGCCCTGGTTCAGAGTTGTAAATGGTAATCCCTCTCGTTCCATGCTGTATTTTGTCGGATGGAAGAGTTTGTTTAAAATATCCCTGATCCTGGATGCTGTTTGCCACCTTCTGAGTTACTAGTACCACTGCTTGTGGAGTTGCACTATGATCTCTCTGTACAAGGCTTAAAATATTCCAGACAAAAAGAGTAATACTTCTTTTGTTCTAACTATTTATAAGTCTATGTGGCAGTATGAATCTATGAAGTATTAGAAGCAGAACATAGAAGAGAGATGGCAAGATCATGCCTTCTGGTGTCAGCTAGCTGGTAGACTTGAGCAGGAGCTATCTGTGTGGGAATATTCACTTGGCTTTCCTGTAGGCGTTTCAGTGGGGTCTTAATGATTGATTCAGTCAAGCTTGGGGAGGAGCAGTTGCATGTTGCATGCTTAGATAAGTATTTGTGGATGACAGTGTTTCTAATAAACTTACATGATTAATTTGCCTAGGCATTGTCAAATGTGTGGCAGTAACTTAGATGAAGATAACCAAATCAAACTTAATAAAATCACAAGAAGAAATTAGTTATGCAGTGGGTTTATGTATGTCAAATCCCTACATAGCGCAAATTACTTGTGAAAGATGTTGCTGGTGAGGATTACAGACTGTTTCAACTTGATTACCAAAGATGCTGTCCCAACATTCAGCGCAGGAAAGCTGGAGTGGTAGTGTTGGAATAGATAGTTACACATAGTGACTTCTGCTGAAAGAGATAGTTAAAACAAGTGTAGTAGAAATATATCTGTGTGCATGAAGATCGGGCTGGATATGATTAAAACACATTTGAAAAGAATTGGTCCCTACCAAGTCTGCCTCTGAAAGAGCACTCACAGATAAAAGTGCTTGCATGAGAGGTATCCATCAAATATAGCAGTGGTGTTTGGGGGAAATTCAGGGTGAGGGAACTGAACAGATAATCCAAAGAGTCTTTTCAAAACAGGGAGGTCAGCACTCCTGTCTGCCGGACCATAACTAAATTAACACACAGACTTACTTGTTAGTAATCTTCTTAACATCTTTATAATACTATTAATGTTTTGTAGTAACTCCCTGCGATTGCTTGCGAGGAATGTCCTGTGTGGGAGGGGGAACTGATACTCGGTAGACAGAACTGAGATCTGGATCTACTTCTGGTCTTCTGTAAGTCTGTTTCTGGCAGAATTGAGTGTGACTTCTATCATTCCTCCCATTAAGCTATCATTATAGGTTTTTATCTTTATTCCTTCAGCAAGCATGTGTTTGAAGAAGCTTCTTCTCTTGGCATCTTGTCTGATAATGGGTTGGGGAAGGGAAAGGTCTTTTAAGTGTTAAAACATGTTACATCTCTAAAGAAACAGCTCCAGCTGAAATCTTTTCAGAGCAGTGGACAACATAGTTGTCTTAAACTGTGCATTTTCATAAATATTTTATAGACATTGACTACATACATGAATTTTTTATTGGCTTATTCTTTTTCAAGAAAAATCTCTCTTTTTTTTTTTAATGGTAGTGTATTGATTTCTTTATAACCTGAAAGTGCTTACTGCTTATTGCTGAAGTTGTAACTTCTCAAGAATGAAACACCTGAACATAGCTATTAGAAAGAGAAACAAGTTTAAAAGCTGAAACAAAGTAGAACTTTAGTTCCTGTTAGGATATTGTCATGGGAAGTAAGGTGAGTGCACGACCCCTTCAGGGTTTTGATCAAAAAAACTAAGACTGGCATAACTAGAAGATCTAGAAAATTATATTTGGAAAATTATCTCCCACTTTGCAATGATTTGAAGTATTTTTGGGTGCATTTTGATTGAGATTTTTGAGCGTCTTACAGAAGCATGAATTCTATGGCAGGAGACATAGGGGGATAGGGTCCTCATGAATACACAGTTCTTTCTAGCTAGACTTATTTTTAAAAGCTCATTATTTTCCTTTCCTCTAAATCATATTTTACAATCAGATGGTGATTTCAATTTCATAAACATGTTGGCATAAACTGCAGAGCAAAGATAAGTGTTACCATGTTACTTGTTCATCTATTCAACTTAGTGCAGTGTGCAAGCACAGTAAAGACAATTACACATTGTTTATATGTTTCCATTAAGATATTTTTCAAAACAAATAAAAAACCAAACCATTTTAAATAACCCTTTTTAAAAAAACAGATGAAGTAACATGGTTAAATACAATCCTGAAAATAGTTCTGGGGACTTGTTGTGAGGCACAGCTGAGAGGGCAGAGAGACTGGCAGGTAGGTGGGGGCAAAGGGCCTCTTTCAAGTCTTCTTGCTGATGAAGGGCTGCTCACTTGGGGGTTCTGTTCAGCCGAGTGCTCAGGATCCAGTTTGGCTGCCTTTCAGTGAATCCCTTGTGATCCTGAATGCCTCAGCTGTGCTTGGCGCCTTGTTGGACTGGGACCTTTCTGAACTGATTGGCTTGTTCTTGCGGCATTTAAAGAATAGAGCTCAGCGTGAATCTGTTCCTAAGTAGCTCTGTGAATGGCTGGGGCATTGGTACTTCTTCCTTCCTATACAACTACACTTTTGCAAAAAGAATTTCACGATGGCGAGTACCAGGTAGCCTGTGGCTGAGCTGTCATGCTACATGTAGCTAAACCTCAGACTAATTAAAACAAACAGTGTTCAAAAACTTCATGTTGATTTGGGTGTGTGTATGGGGGGGGGGGTTGTTTGTTTGTTTTCTTTTTCCTCCTTAGGCTTTTGTCTTATACTTGCTTTTTTTTCTTATTTTTAAGTGTCAATTTACAGTATCTGGTTTTATGACAAGAATGACTGCCATCGAATAGCAAAACTCATGGCTAAGTAAGTACCTTGGTCTTGTTGTTCCTGCAATTCTTCTGGGGTGGGGGAGTAAAATGTTATATATGTTGAGTGCTACTGCTGTAGTTTAAGTGATTAAAATTTTTGGTTAAAGCATTACTGTGGTAGTCTAATGAGAACAAGTGTACATGTTTGTTGGGACTCCCTACTGTATTTTATGCAGGGATAGTTAAAGCAGAGCAACACTCTGGCATTCTTTATTCCTTTAAAATTTTCCAAGTCTTCTAGTCTGGAATAATAGGTGGAGGCTTGCAGAATTCAAGTGAAGTTTGGAGAGCAGACAAGGTTCTGGAAGTAATAGGAGCTCGTTGCTGGACCTATGTTGCAGGGAGGAAATAGCCAAAACAGGGTAGCTAGTCACTGTAGCTTCAGTGATTGGGAATCATTTACTTATTATGAATTTTGAAAGCTAATGAAAACTCCACTGCTCTATTTGAAAAACTGAATATTAGAAGGGAAGATTTTTTTTTTGTAATATACCTTTTAATTAAATAGTGACAAATACTTGCGGTAGGAAAGAGAGGTAAGCCCCTCAAACTCTCCTGTATCCTTCCTGTCATGCAGAGCTAAGTGCCATATAGCAAAGTTTCCCTATCACCTGTAGGAAAGATGACTGCTTTTATAGCACTTTACAACTTCAAAAACACAACCCTAAAAGGTTTCAAGGGGATTTGCATTCTCTTCCCTGGTGTTTGACTTGACCTTATTGTGCTAGATTGAGTTAACAAGGCTGCAAGCCATCCATTTATGTATTTGGCAGCTTATCTTTCAAAAGAAAACTAAATTACTCTTCATAGACTGTGTAATCACAGACCTTCACTTCTCACATTCTCTCCCTTGCTCTGCTGTGAGGTTGTGCCAGGTATATTTTCAATGCTGGAGTTGTAGATATTCTTCAGCAAACATTGCAGCAGCTATTGTATCCCTGAAGGAACGTGTGCCTTTTCCCCTCGCTTGTCCAGCAGAAACAGTAGGCATTGCTTAAAAAAGATTTAATCCTGATTCTGTGCAGAGCATTCTCACTATATGGATTTGCATTTAACAGCTTTTCTTTTGACTTCTCTTCCCAGCTCAGCAAAGGTATCTGATTTACAGAGATTGAGAACAAAAAGATGTTTTTTGAAATCAATTCCAGAGTTTCCTGGAATGAGACAAATTTGATGGAAAGGATCAGATTGGTAATTCTGGAACATATTAGTTTGGGCAATGTTGGTTTAGGAGGTAAATGATTACTTAGCTCTGGAAAGGGAGAGCTTTGGTGAAGTAGGATGAAGTCCTACTACATAGTCCTACTACTACTACATAGTTGGTTTGTTTTGCTTCAAGGTTTTCTAAAATTCACTTTTGTGTAAAACTGTTGTGTTCTCACATGTAAATTATAGATTTATATTTTGAGCTTAGTTCGGAGGCTTCTACCCTATTTCGTACAGTCAGACCTAACCTGACTTCTGAGGTGCAGGCAGTGAGCTTGGGTGGGGAGGGTATCTCTGCTTAGGGCAAGTACTGCTCTGTATTTATCTTCTTTATCTTTTGAATATAATCTACATAAAGCCAAGTTTCATAGGTAGGATTCTTTAGGAAATAAAAGTAAACTTGAAAAAGAGAAGAAGCACTTCCTAAAGAACTATAAGAAAAATACTGTGAATTATTTTGCAGGTATCTGAGTGAAATGGTTCTGTGAAGTGTGTGTACTCCTTGAAAACAAAAGCTTTTAAGCCCCCTGCTGAAGAGCAGAAACAGTCTGAAGACCGAGCCTTGACTTCACCTAAAGGCAGCGTGTGCATGAATGCCTGGAATTTGCCCTTTAGCAGAAGTCCTTATTTATCCCTGAAAATCTTCTAAGTCTCAGCAAAGTATTCGGAGTCTTTTATCTTGCCCTCTCTCATCTCCACGTCTGGAGTGGAGCTGAGAAGTCCTCAGTCAGGACAGCGTGACAGTGTGGGTGCAAGAACAAAATGTTCTCCGAGGATATCTCTGTAGAAACGTTTGTGCCCTTAGGAGCTGCTTCATCCAAGGCAGCGCGTGCTGCAGCTGCGAGAGGTTTTCTTGCAGGGTGATGGCTGGCCCGTGTGTCCGAGTTAGGTTTGCGGTTGCTGCAACACGGCTTTCCCCCTGTACACAGGCATCATAGACAGCTGGTTAAATAAGGGCCTTGCATGCATGTTCTAAAAGTATTGAAAGTAATTTTCCATGGCAATTTTTTTTAAAAGCCAACTCTAATTTTTCCTTAAATTAATGCAGTTAATTTCTAGTGAAATCAGTTGGCTTGGCTGTAGGAAAGCTAAGAAACTCCTAGGACTTGAGCTTTTTATCCTAAAAATGACACCATTGCGTGCCGTATCTATTTACTCAACCGTCTATAAAATACAGAGTTATTTCAGCATCCCAACTGAACTGGTTAAACTGAGGATCTAAGTGACTGCCTCTGTGGTTGTTGTGGTGGCACCTTTTGGATCTCCACCAGCCGCTAGCTCAGTGGCATGAGAGGTCTCGAGGGACATGGCAGCACCAGAGCTCTGCCCTGTTTACAGTGCTTGTTTTTTCCTTAACGTATTTGATTAATACAGGCTTAAAAGAGGGGAGATTACAGGCTGGTGTGTGTTTATTTCAAGAGGATAAGCCTTAGCGCACTGCACAGCCATGTATATCTTGTGAACTGCATATGGGTTAGGAGTGGAAGTGTATGTTGCCTTTAATTTGTAAGCAAAATGTTCAAGGTACACATGCTCTTTTTGCATGTTAACCATCCTTTAAGTGAAGCTGTCTGATGCTCAGGGTGGTAGGAGCAGGCTGTGGGAGCAGTAGACACCTGGTGTGAGGCACCTTCCTTCTTTCCTGGGGTCTGTGCTTTGTTTTAGAAGGGTAGCTCTGATTCTAAATTGTAACTGGTTTATAGTGAACTTTTTTTTTTGAGTAACATGGCTCGAATTGGCTATATAAGGGAAAAGCTGCATGTTAGCAAGTAAATAATCAAAATCTTCCTTTGCTCAGTCTATGGCATAATACATATGTTCTCTGTATAATGTACTTGGGTGTCCACATATCTTATTGTAAAACTGTCTAAACATGACAGTTTTGCAGAGGTAGTGTTTACTGTAGGCAAACTTTGTGAGAAATGGAGCAGTGCTGCCTGGATTAGAGCTGAACTGTACAGACCATTTGATAGTTTGTCTTGTATAAACCCTGTAGCAGATGAAAACTTGTGTAACACTGGTCAATGATGTGTTAGGTTTTTATCGGATGGAATAAAATGTGTTTATATGTTGAAATATGTTCCTCTTTACTGCTTTTTGTGAGATGTTCATTCCAGATAAAGTTTTGAAATCCTATTCTCCTTTCCTTCTACAGAGTGGTGGAACAAGAAGCTCAGAGATCTCAGCAAGTTTGCCAAGACAGGAAAAGTCCCAGCAGACCCAATGGCTGCAGTGAAAGTAGGCCCATTGACATCCTGGAAATGCTCAGTAAAGCCAAGGATGAATATGAACGAGTAAGGATTTTATTTTATTTTTGTTTTTTTCCTCATTAAGAGCAAATAGAAATGCTACTGCTACTTTTGAATAAGGGGCCTCGTGTGGGAGGTACTAAAATGGCATGTCCTTTGATTTCTGAGAGGGAAATTATAAAATATGATAATTTTGGTATTTTAACATATCTTGTGTGACAGCCTCTAACTGGAGATCACAAAGTAGCACTTCTAACCCAGAATTGAATAGGCACATATATTTGTATATTAAAATTGTTTCCTCTTGGGGGGCGGGGGGGATACAGTTCTTGAAGATAGATACTTGGTAATACAAACTGGATATTTTCCTGAAACAACTGTGTTTGCTGCTTAATTTTGGTGCTCATTTACTGTTCTCTTTTGCAAGATCATTGTCAGAGGAAACATGGACATATATATGTAACACTGCTGTAATCATGAAGTTCCATTTTGTAAATATTCCTTACAGTAACTTTTAGCTTTTTTTCTCTAGAATGGTTTTCTCTGGCATGGGTGATAACAGAATATTTATTCATTGCAATTGCATGTTAAAATGTTTTGGGGTATTAAGTAATGCAGCAGAAGTCTGGAAACTTAGTCCCATGTTCTTGATGTAAGCTCGGTTTATACCGGAGGCCTTCTCTGCCCTTGTTTCAGTAACCTTGTTTTCAGAGTGAGGCCTTATTCTTTCCTTGAAACTGTGCTATGATGAAGTCCCTTCCATTTCAGGAGAGATTTGTTGAATGGGTTCTGTAACCCCACTTGAAAATGTAGGTTACTAGACTAGTTTAACAGACTTAAGATCTCTACCGCTGTGAGGAAAACACTCCTTTCTGGAAACTGCAAGCAAAAGTTGCACCTGGTGTTGACTGTCTTGTCTTAGACCCAGTCTTGCAGAGTTAGTAGATTTATACATTCTCGTCATTTGTAGACTTGATGAAGCATGTTTTTCACAGCTGTAAGCGAAGTACAGTCACTTCCTTCTGTTCCTCAGTTTACTGCTGATGTATCCATCCCCTAAGAGTCTATCCTTTTAATAAGTTACTTGAGTTCAGGATGGAGATTCTGTTATCTTTTGCAAGCACAAAGTTCACAACTTTATGTAACTTTTTAGTGCCTGAGATCTGTTAATTCCTTTTGTGAATGTTTTAAATACATATATAGAAATGCCATGTTTCTAATACTCTAAGTATTGCTGCTGCTGGAGGAGGGTGTAGCACTGTGAAAGCAGCAGCTTTTTTGAGAGCATGGAAGGAAGCTTCAACAACCTGAACGCTGCCTCATCTGTCAGTGTTGTATCAATACGAAAAAGGCTTGCAAAAGGTACAGGAACTCGCTATTTTGACAGCGTCCTGTTGAGAATGTGAGGTCTCTCTTCCCTTCTGTTCTTGCAGTGCTAGCTGGTAGGTGTTTGCAACAGGTCATTCTTAGGAATGACTTGGAGGATGTTGCAGAGTTCCTGCGCTTCCTTTTTCCTGGTTTTCAGATCTCTTTGAGGGAGTTTTGAAGAGCTTCTGCTAGGAACAAACTTCCAAAGCATCATGAATGAAGCTCCGTAGACGAGCAAAATGCCAGTGAAGGAGTAGTCAGCGGGCAGCCCCTGATGGCACTGTCATACCCTCAGAAATGCACCGGGCAGGGGCCACAACCTAGTTGTGAACGTAGCTCATTGCTTGAGACCCTTCCTATCTTAATATTTAGAAATTATTTTGTGGCTTTAAAGTAATTATGCCTAAGTATGTATTTAGGAGCAGCAAGTACTTATCTGGCTGGTCCGTTCCAGATGGATCATAGAGTAATCCTCGTGTGCAGCCCACAGGAGATTGGCGGAGTGTCAGTGTGAGAAGGGGCAGAGAGAGGTTTTTTTTTTGTTTTTTTTGTTTGTTTGTTTGTTTTCTTTTTTTAAAAAAAAAAAAAAAAGAGAGATTTATGGAGGTCTGAGTGATTTAATCTAGGACTGTAAATCAGCTTAATCCTTCAAATACTTGCTACATATGTGAACATGAATGAATTCTGAGTGTTACTGTGTGTGTGATTTGTTTGTTTTAATGGAACGAATGATTCCTTTTTATAGTGTGTTTTTGTGTGTGGTGTGTGTGTTCTTTTTCTCTTTTTTTTTCCTTGTTGTGTCTCTGTATGAGAATGGAATGTGGAAACCTTGCTACTTTAGTGAAAGAGGGAAAGAAAACATGCTTCGTCTGGCTTCTGTAACAACTAGGTAGCCTAGTATCCCAGGCTCAAAGTGTTTTTTCACCTTTTTTGCACTTTGTTGGCTCGCTGAAAAGGGGAAAGGGAAGAATTTGCTCTTCTCTTCTGCCCTATAAATGAGATTATGTGTATGAGACATAGTATGAGACTAGTATTTGTCTTTGTACCTGTTTTTTTCCAGTTGGAAAACAACAAATCCAGTTTTTAATAGGAAAAATAGAAACGGAAAATAACACAGTAACAAGTTTGGGTTGTATCTAATTTCTTCTTTAAACAAGATGCAAACCATATTTTGCTGCTCCTATGTAACAACCAGAGCAGTCGTCACGTGTTGTTTTGCTGGTCAGATAGGTCATGAGCATAAGCCATAGTTTTTCTTGAATACTAGGCTGAGTTTGTTCAATACCTAAAGCTATAATACATAAATGTAAACTTTAGTAAAAAGTGGAAATCCAATTACACTGCAGATACCACCTTATCCATCATGGTGACTGCTTTGACTGTTTTTGACCTTTGGTCAGAAGGCCTTGTGAAATTGCACACACACATGGTTAAATAACTCTGATAGATGTAAGTGACACGCTCCCCTCTCAATTACTTGAAATCGTTTCTAACAGGATTTTATTACATTTTTTTTCTATTTTGGATTCTTCTTAGCAACTAATGAAGAAAAGAAAAAGATGCAAGAAATCTGCCTCCCTTTTCTTGACTCGTGAAAAATAGGTGAAGCAAGTTGTCTTAGTTTTTTGGTAGTAAAGAGTAAAAACATTATCAATGTGTACTGGATGGTGGATGTCTTGGCATGACTTTTATTTCCTAAAACTTGAGAATTCCCTACTATCTTCAAAAAATCAGTTTATCTTCTGTATTTCAGTTGAAGTACCGCATAACAGGATTGCAGAATTGTAATAATGTATAGACATAGGGTAAAAACATACGTGTTTGTAATTCTGTTGTGTGTGCTTCTTTTTAAGAATCAGATTAATGACTTGAGTATCGTATCGAGTTCTGGAATGCAGCAGAACACCAGTCCCTCGAAACCAGAAAGCACAGAGACTTCAGAACAAGCAACTGCATTACAAGTGCAAGATCAGGTATGTTGCAGGCAAACTTACATAAGGACCTTGGCTTCATCAGTACTTTGTTTTGGTACCAGAATACGTATTATTTTATTTTTTTATCTCCAAGAATGCCTGTAGTGTTGCCTACTAAATTTTTTTTGCTTCAACCTGAAAATAAATATATTTGAAAGTTTGATTTCAGTTTAAAATGTCTTTGTATCCAGTCCCATCTCTTATGCCTGTTCCTGTCTGAGATCACTTAGCATTTTCTTTGTTTAGGCTTTAGATGAGCCCGTGGATTTTATTTTATTTTTAGCCTAAATTGTCTTCTAAGTTAAGATTTGAAAATGTGAGACCATGTCCATGCTACAGTGAATGTTCAAGCTTGTTTAAAGGGGCTAACTTGGATGGTTCTGCCACCATACAAGTCAGTTTGTGGTGGAGTAGGGCCCTGTAAAGAAGGGCTCGCAATGAGGGTGCGAGAGAAACTAATCTTTGCTGCCTCTGCTGACTGCATGTGGTATCAGTTAACTGTGCTTTGTATTCCAGTCTCACATGGACAGGAGAGCAGGGCTTGAATTTCTGAGACAGCTGCTTGCAGTGGCCTGGGCTGCTGTTGAGGGGGTAGCTACACTTGGGCCAGTTTCAGTCAGCAGCAAATGGCACAGGCGGGTAGGGAAGCCCTGCAGGCATTGCAGCACACAGGCCTCTCTGCCACAAGTGACCATGTGTCTTCCCAGCTTCTGGCACAGCTCTCGCCCTTGTGTCTGTGTGTGTGTGAGGGGGATTTACGTATATGTGTATTTTTATACGTATTATAAAACTTGAATGGTGTATTCCTTCCTCTGCAGGAAGGAATAACATCAAAATTCTCAGTGATGATGTGATAATTCTAATATGTTGTAGATCGATTCAGGATAGTGTTAGATACAATGTGCTCGATCAGGATGTATCCAAATATCTGGGAATTCTAAAGCCTGGTGCTCTTCATGTGAATAAAGATTAAAGCCCAGTAAAAATGCTGGAGAAAACATTCATGTGTATTACAGCTTGTTTCACTTCCATGTTGTCTTTGAAGCAAAATATTTAGTAGCAGGCTGGAGTGGTTGGAATATAGGCAGTGATAGCTCAGTAGCTGGCACCGTTAAACAGCTGTGTAAGCACCTATGCTTAAGGGATTTGAATCTTCATAAAGTCTTGTAGAAGCTACCTTTAAAAAAATCAAATTATTGCTGTAATTAGATTCCCTGCAGCATATGAGCTCTTTGTGCCTGCTTGCAGTGCCCTCCAGTGGAGACGTGCTCAGTCTCCACTGGAGGTCACCCTGTCTGTCACTGGAGGTCTCCACTGGGTCACCCTGAGAGGCAAAGCGGCAGCCGCGGGCGCCAGCATGCGCTGCGCACGCAGAAAATCTCCGTGCCTGGGCGGGGAGAGGCCCCGGGGAAGCCAGTGCTGCCTCGCGCAGTTCTAAACAAGTACTTGCTTTGTAGGAGTGGTGCATAGGGTAATATCTGCAGAGCTATTGGGGAAAAAAAATGCTAACCTAAGAGTGATAGTAGTGTACTTGTGCAGAGCTAGCTGCCTGGGTTCAAATGTGGCACGACTGATTTTGTTCTAATCATGTTCTTTAATAGCAGGTGAACAACTAGAGGCAGGACAGAAAAATGCCCTATTTCAGCTGTA